GCATCTGCAACGAGATAGACGACATCACGGAAGCAGAGATGCGCGATCGCTACCTCGAAGGGTTGAAGCCGGACATCGCGGAGATTATAGCAATTCACGGGTTGTCCACCTTCGAGTCGGTAGTCGCAACAGCAGAACGTGTCAACGCAGTACGAAGCCGACGGGGTCGTGACGATCGCGATAGGGGATACAACAGACCGATCAACGACGCTCGATCGAGGGACGGACCGTCGCCCATGGAGATTGGTGCAGTTAACAGTGACGGCTCACAGCGCAACGGATTTAGGGGGAACTGTCACTACTGCAAAAAGCCAAGACAGATGAAGCAGGACTGCCCACAGCTTAAGGAGCGGCAGCAGGGAAACGGAAACCGCCAGTAGATAGCGGGTTGCTAGCTGGTATAGAGGTTCCCGTACCCGCCACGTCTACCAACGTAGAGGAGATGGCCTTGCAGCAGTCATCTATGAAGAACGAGGTAGACACTGTTGACTGACCAGTTGTGCTTCTAGGGAAGCTTCGCGCAGTTCCAGTCAAGATTCTCGTAGATAGCGGAGCTAGCCACTCGTTCGTTTCGTCTTCATTAGTTAGTCGTCTTCATCTCGAAGCAGATTCGGCGGTAAATTTTAAGGACGCTCGCATGGTAGATCGGACGCCACTCCACATAGGACCGATCATTCGCAAGTTGCGCGTAGTGCTAGGACCGATCACAGTTAGGCGTGACTTCGACTCTGCGACGCTGGACAGATACGATTTCATCTTCGAAGAGAGATTGGCCACAAACGGTTAGTACTCAGTTCGATTGGGCTCAGGGAAGCTGCAGCGTCAAGGTAGATGGCGAGTTCCGGGAGCTGCCACAGTGGAGCGATGGGGCCACATCATCCACAGCTATCATTAATGCTGTTCGTGTGCGACAGTTAGTGAAGCGTGCGGCACGGATCTTCGCCATTTTCCTTGAGGAGGTTGAAGCTAAGGAGGGGAAAGGAGGGAGAGCAGCAGTTAGGGAGAAGGCGACTCTTCCTACTGAAGTGAGTGCACTGTTAGATCCTTGGGTAACACTTTTAGATCCTTTGGCAGCACCAATCCTTGGGCGACTCTTTCTTTGGGCAACACCGATAATTTTCGGAGGGTTACGGATGTGCAACACTGAGGGCAACACTGAGGGTTACGGATGTGCATAGATTATCGCGCACTGAACGCCGCCACTGTCAAAAATCGATTCCCGATGCCGAGAGTAGAGGATCTTCTAAATGCAGTGCAGGGCGCTAGAATCTTCTCAAAGATCGACCTTCACTCAGGGTATCATCAGATTCGAGTCGTTCCAGAGGACCAGCACAAGACGGCGTTTCGTACGAAGCAGGGGTAGTACGAGTTTAAGGTTCTACCATTCGGACTGACCAACGCCCCGGTGACATTCCAGACGCTTATGAACGTCGTCCTCTCCGAGTTCCTAGGTTCGTTCGTTGTCGTTTACCTAGACGACATCTTGATCTTCTCCAAGTCGAAAGAGGAGCACGTGCAGCACTTGCAGAGGGTCTTTGAGGTCTTGTAAAGGGAGAAGCTGTACGTGAAGCAGTCAAAGTGCGAGTTATTTCTCCCCGAGGTCGAGTTTCTAGGTCACGTCGTATCCGCTAGTGGCGTTAGGACCGACCCGAAGAAGATCGCAGCAGTACAGGATTGGGTAGCACCGACCTCAGTCAAGGAGTTGCAGAGCTTCCTCGGTTTCGCGAATTACTACCGTCGTTTCGTTCAGGGTTACGCTTCCATCGCTAGTCCACTCACCGACCTACTTCGGAAGGGCGTAGAGTACGTTTGGGGTCCAGCGCAGCAGCAGGCGTTCAAGCAGATGAAGCAGTTGATCACGTCTTCATCAACACTGTCGTACCCTGATCCCACTCGCCCGTACGTTGTAGTGACCGACGCTTCAGATCAGGCTGTCCGAGCAATGCTTCTTCAGGACTAGGGACGCGGGTTGCAGCTGATCGTGTACGAGTCGCGTAAGCTGAGGGGAGCGGAGTTGAACTATCCCATACACGACAAGGAGGCGCTCGCGATCATCCATGCGTATAAGGTATGGAGGTGCTACCTAGAGGAGCCAGATAGTGTTATACGCACGGACCATTGCTCGCTTCGTTTCCTCAAGTCGCAGCCGCAGCTCAGTCATCGCCAGGCTAGATGGATGGAGTTCATGGAGGGGAGCTTTCATTACAGGATAGAGTACAAGCCAGGCGTGCGCAACCCAGCAGATCCGCTCACTCGCCCTAGTTGCCAGCTCGCTAGCCTCACAGTCACTGCCGGCCATCCACTTCTCACAGCACTCTTCGAGCACGGTTACACAGTAGATCCCGACTTTACATTGCAGCCGCCCGCAGGAGCAGAGGTGCAGGGTAGTGTCTACATACGGAAGGGTACAACACGGATTTGGGTTCCAGCCTACCGCCCTCTTCGACAGCTTCTACTTTCAGAGGCGCACGACGTAGTTAGTGCAGGTCACTTCGGAGCAGATAAGACGGCTAAGACGCTTAGTCGCACGTACTACTGGCCAGGGCTTGCAGCAGACGTAGAGGATTGTATTCACTCGTGCGACACGTGTCAGCGTACGAAGTCCTCGCGACAGCGCAAGGCAGGACTTTTGCAGCCGATTCCACCGCCCGACCGCCCTTGGCAGGTAGTTACGATGGACTTCATCATGGCATTACCGCGCACAGTTAGGGGTCACGACGCCATCTTCGTTGTAGTCGACAAGTTTTGTAGAGCAACGCACTTCATCCCCACGCACGGCCAGGTCACAGCAGAGGAAGCCGCGACGCTGTTCGTAGATAACGTAGTCCGACTGCACGGGGTTCCCGATTCCATCATCTCAGACCGCGACCCTCGTTTCACTTCGAAGTTCTGGAAGCAGCTTTTTGCACTGTTTGGGACTCGCTTAGGCATGTCGTCTGCGTACCATCTAGAGATAGACGGACAGACCGAGCGCGTGAACCAGGCATTTGAGGAGATCCTTCGCAGCATCACGATGCACGACGCAGCCGCATGGGACAAGAAGCTGAGCATGGCAGAGTTCGCATACAACAACACGCATCACTCCGCCACAGGCATGTCACCGTTTTTACACTGTACGGTCAGCACCCCAATGTCCCCACTCGTGTCGATCTCACACCCACAGTCCCTCGTGCGGACAACTCCCATCAGCACCTCACATTCATTCATGATCACGTGAGGAAGCACCTTGAGCTCGCAAATGCACGCATGGCACGCACCACCAACCGCAGTCGTCGTAAGGTGTCATTCGCAGTCGGTGATCGTGTCCTTCTCGATGGTCACAACCTCCGACTGCCACATGACAACAAGCTTCGTCCACGTTTCATTGGTCCATTTGTCATTGAGCGCGCACTTGGTCCAGTAGCATACCGCCTCCGCCTTCTCGCTCATTTCCGCATGCACTTGTCATTCCACGTGTCTCTCCTTCGTCCATACACCGATCCCAACACCACCTTCTCGGGCCGTAATCGCACACCACTGCCGGTAGCTGTTGACATCGACAAGCCCGACTACCAGATCCAGCGCATCCTCAGGCACCGTCGCCGTCTCCAGGGGGGTGTCTCTTTCATCGACTTCTTGGTTCGTTGGCGTGGTTACGACGCAGCCGACGACAGCTGGGTTCCTTCGTCCTCGCTGTCTCCTGACAACGCTTGCCTCCAAGCGTACCTTCAGTCTGCAGGCGCCGCGGACGTCGCCTCATTGTGGGGGGGGGGGGGGGGTAGTGTTAGAGGGGTGTTTACTGTTCATTCCAAACAGTACTTCCCAACCCCAACCCCATCATTATCTTCCTAGATTTCCTAGTGCTACGTGGCACTCTACTTTCTTTTCCTTCTAATTCCTAGTCCCACAAACTACTTTTCCATAATCACTCTTGCATGCTATATAAACCTTGCTTGTATTCCCTCATATCAACCATTTCTCAACCAATTCTCATTCAACTCTTCTTCAATTACTGAGTAACTCCTTTGCCTATTTCGCCAATAGTTATTCGTCAAAGTATTCTGCCGCATTTCATCCTCGACTTAGTCGGCCCCGCCAAATCTTCAGCGGACCTAGGGCGTGTTTTAGGTGGTTACGAACAAGCAGCCTCGTAACAAGCGACCGCCTTGCGACGCTTCACGAGTGTAGGCGATCTCTTACTCGCCAATCAGTGTGCGTCATTCTCACAAAACTTGTTCGGAAGTCACTTGTTACAAGGTCCGAAATGCGCTGTAGGCCTGCGGGCCTGATAAATTCCGCCCGGATCTCTTCAGCGACTTTCCGCGCTTTCCGACTTTCCGCTCCCCAAACCACTCCAGCAGGCTCGACTATCTCCAAGTACAGCACCGTAGCGACAGCTATGCTGGATCCCCCCAACCCCCAAGCCAAGTTCCCAAGCAAGGCCAGCCTAGATCCTGATTCCCTAAGCATCAGACTTTTCACCGGGGCGTAGCTCAGTACGCCAGACGCTAGGTGGTGAATTAGCAGCGTAGTGGCATGGTCACAAGAGGGAAGAGGTTATGATATTACCGTTTGGCCGTTCGTTTGTCCGGTGATCGAAGCCTGTCGTCGTATAATTTGTAAACTGGAATGAATTTTAGGCAATGCACGTCACTGACCAGCCACGGAGTTAGAAAGGAGTGTGAGGGTGGCGAAGTGAGTGTAATGGTTCAATGACTTGATAAACGACAGGGACTGTGGTTTTTTCTGTCGCTATTTTCGCGTATCATTAATCTGTTAGAAGGCCAGCGACGGACAGAGCTGGCCGTAGACGGACGTCCAATTGTTGACTGAACGATTTCTCGATTGATCACTCAGCATATAGACGGGAGAGAGATCTCGCCGTCTTGTTCACACCTTCGTTGGTAGTCAGCTGACTGGTTTCCGGTCGACTGTGTTTCCGGCTGACTGCTAGCCGTCTGACTTGTTTCGGCTGACCAGTAGCCGTCTCATAAAATTTCGGTTGACTGGTAGCCGTCAAGATGAGGGGAGGCAAGTTCCAGCAGAAGGTGGTGGAGGATGGCAGCACTCGGAACTCGGAATCGCTTTTCGAGACGCGTTCTATCGCGGATATCGTTGCGATCGAGGCGCGCACGAGGAAGGAGGTGGAGGAGAAGAAGGAGGAGCTGCGGCAGCTGGTCGGCGCGAGCTATCGCCACCTCATTGAATCCGCGGATTCGATTCTCGACATGCGCAGGTATGCTGGACACTTGGGCTGAATCCGTCTCGGCTCCAAAGTCGAATCAAAGGAAACGGAGCAAGAGGAGGAAAGAGTGGGAACGGGAGAAGGAGGATTTTCGATGTTTAAATTGTAAAACGGAGGCTTTTGCTCACATCTGGACGAGAAAGAGGAGAGGAGCTGCAACAGCTGGTCGGCGCGCGCTATCGCCATCTCATCGCATCCGCAGATTCGATTCTCGACATGCGGAGATAGGGGGGACCAACACGTATCTGTGAAATGGTGTGTGAGCGAGCTTGATCCTGGTCGGCATGCGTCGGCAAGTAGGCATATTCGAGTCCGCTCAAAAGACTCATGTGTTGCTTTTTCTGGTTCTATGTGTGTGATTTCATGTGTGTGTGCAAGTGTCTATGTTCGTGCGCTCACATGTACACAGGTCGTGCGAGGCTGTGGTGCGACTTTTGAGACGTCTCAAAAGTCGTCTATGTTCGTGTGCTCACATGTACACAGGTCGTGCGAGGCTGTGGTACGCAATGTGGCAGCTATGGAGTCGGACTTCACGCTGCTGCACAAAACAATCTCCACAACGGCCACCACCACCCCTGCTGCTGATGCCAAACGCAAGGTGAGCACGTGTGTGTGTGTGTGTGAGAGAGAGAGAGAGTTGGTTACTTCAGTTCAGTGAGAGTAGCAAGGGTGTGTTGGAGGCCCATCAAAACCATCTCCACCACCACCACCACCACCACCACCACCACCACCACCACCACCACCACCACCACCACCACCCCTGCTGACGATGCCAAACTCAAGGTGAGCATATTACAGCTACGTCAAATATCTGATTAGCACGCCAGAAAAGAACTTTGCTGACTGTATGGTCTTGCTTGGCTGTCGAGGGGGCGTTGAGTGAAATACTTGGTATATACGCCAAAGAGGAGTCTGGGCCTTTCATTCACTGTCTGTCTGGAAATACTTGGTATATACGCCAAAGAGGAGTCTGGGCCTTTCATTCACTGTCTGTCTGGAAATACTTGGTATATACGCCAAAGAGGAGTCTGGGCCTTTCATTCACTGTCTGTCTGGAAATACTTGGTATATACGCCAAAGAGGAGTCTGGGCCTTTCATTCACTGTCTGTCTGGAAATACTTGGTATATACGCCAAAGAGGAGTCTGGGCCTTTCATTCACTGTCTGTCTGGAAATACTTGGTATATACGCCAAAGAGGAGTCTGGGCCTTTCATTCACTGTCTGTCTGGAAATACTTGGTATATACGCCAAAGAGGAGTCTGGGCCTTTCATTCACTGTCTGTCTGGAAATACTTGGTATATACGCCAAAGAGGAGTCTGGGCCTTTCATTCACTGTCTGTCTGGAAATACTTGGTATATACGCCAAAGAGGAGTCTGGGCCTTTCATTCACTGTGTGTCTGGAAATACTTGGTACATACGCCAAAGAGGAGTCTGGGCCTTTCATTCACTGTCTGTCTGGAAATACTTGGTATATACGCCAAAGAGGAGTCTGGGCCTTTCATTCACTGTCTGTCTGGAAATACTTGGTATATACGCCAAAGAGGAGTCTGGGCCTTTCATTCACTGTCTGTCTGGAAATACTTGGTATATACGCCAAAGAGGAGTCTGGGCCTTTCATTCACTGTCTGTCTGGAAATACTTGGTATATACGCCAAAGAGGAGTCTGGGCCTTTCATTCACTGTCTGTCTGGAAATACTTGGTATATACGCCAAAGAGGAGTCTGGGCCTTTCATTCACTGTCTGTCTGGAAATACTTGGTATATACGCCAAAGAGGAGTCTGGGCCTTTCATTCACTGTCTGTCTGGAAATACTTGGTACATACGCCAAAGAGGAGTCTGGGCCTTTCATTCACTGTCTGTCTGGAAATACTTGGTATATACGCCAAAGAGGAGTCTGGGCCTTTCATTCACTGTCTGTCTGGAAATACTTGGTATATACGCCAAAGAGGAGTCTGGGCCTTTCATTCACTGTCTGTCTGGAAATACTTGGTATATACGCCAAAGAGGAGTCTGGGCCTTTCATTCACTGTCTGTCTGGAAATACTTGGTATATACGCCAAAGAGGAGTCTGGGCCTTTCATTCACTGTCTGTCTGGAAATACTTGGTATATACGCCAAAGAGGAGTCTGGGCCTTTCATTCACTGTCTGTCTGGAAATACTTGGTATATACGCCAAAGAGGAGTCTGGGCCTTTCATTCACTGTCTGTCTGGAAATACTTGGTATATACGCCAAAGAGGAGTCTGGGCCTTTCATTCACTGTCTGTCTGGAAATACTTGGTATATACGCCAAAGAGGAGTCTGGGCCTTTCATTCACTGTCTGTCTGGAAATACTTGGTATATACGCCAAAGAGGAGTCTGGGCCTTTCATTCACTGTCTGTCTGGAAATACTTGGTATATACGCCAAAGAGGAGTCTGGGCCTTTCATTCACTGTCTGTCTGGAAATACTTGGTATATACGCCAAAGAGGAGTCTGGGCCTTTCATTCACTGTCTGTCTGGACATACTTGGTACATACGCCAAAGAGGAGTCTGGGCCTTTCATTCACTGTCTGTCTGGAAATACTTGGTATATACGCCAAAGAGGAGTCTGGGCCTTTCATTCACTGTCTGTCTGGAAATACTTGGTATATACGCCAAAGAGGAGTCTGGGCCTTTCATTCACTGTCTGTCTGGAAATACTTGGTACATACGCCAAAGAGGAGTCTGGGCCTTTCATTCACTGTCTGTCTGGAAATACTTGGTATATACGCCAAAGAGGAGTCTGGGCCTTTCATTCACTGTCTGTCTGGAAATACTTGGTACATACGCCAAAGAGGAGTCTGGGCCTTTCATTCACTGTCTGTCTGGAAATACTTGGTATATACGCCAAAGAGGAGTCTGGGCCTTTCATTCACTGTCTGTCTGGAAATACTTGGTATATACGCCAAAGAGGAGTCTGGGCCTTTCATTCACTGTCTGTCTGGAAATACTTGGTACATACGCCAAAGAGGAGTCTGGGCCTTTCATTCACTGTCTGTCTGGAAATACTTGGTATATACGCCAAAGAGGAGTCTGGGCCTTTCATTCACTGTCTGTCTGGAAATACTTGGTATATACGCCAAAGAGGAGTCTGGGCCTTTCATTCACTGTCTGTCTGGAAATACTTGGTATATACGCCAAAGAGGAGTCTGGGCCTTTCATTCACTGTCTGTCTGGAAATACTTGGTATATACGCCAAAGAGGAGTCTGGGC